GTCCTGCAGAAGCTGATGGAATCCATCGATTTGGAGTGTGGCAGCAGCAACAACAACAGCAGCCTTTCTGGACTAGTGGATGTGCCTTTTTCCTTGGGCCAGCCGTGCGTCGTTCAGCTGTCGGGAGGCTGGTACCGGGGCCAGATTCTCAATGTGCAAACAAACACCGTCCAGGTGGGCGCTGCGCACACCAAGGCAAAGCCACTTGAGTAATGATGCACGTGGCTTGCCTGGAGCTGGATTAACCTTAATGTAGAAAATGACCGGGCGAAAGAAGCAATTGATATTGTGGTGAGATGTTGACCGAGGGCGTTGAGGTGGCGAGATGTTAACTACCTCGCCTGGTATACAGGAGGTTGTGGGTTTGATCCTGACTGACAATGGCTGTTTTATGTTTTATATTTGTGTGTCTCTCTCTCTCTCTGGTCGCGTGGATTTTTCTCCGGGTCCTCCTGTTTTTCCTTCCACATTTAGAATCCACATCACGTGTTTACATTTCCACGTGATAAGCCACTTGAGCAGTGTCTATCATTTTGTAGTGGGTTCTTTTTAGGCGCACACACTTCTTGGGAGGCAACACTCATTTATTAATTAACACAACGTTTACTCAACAGTTACTCTTACTCTACACATAGGGTGGTGACCACCGACCTACACTAGCTAACACACAATTGTATTTTAGTCTCTCTCCAGCGTGACCCAGCCAGGTGGCTGCTGGCAGTCCGCTCACTGTAGGTCTTCTCTTCTGGCATCTTCACGAGGTGTCTTCATTCTTCTCAGGAACAGCCCTGCTCTGCCTTCACACCACGCTTATATCTCGTCTCTCTGGCGTGGCCGGCTCCGCCCAGGCCACGCCTCACTTCCCAGGCCACGCCTCACTTCCCAGGCCACGCCTCACTTCCCCCACCTCTGGGAAGGTCCGGATCCCTCCAGCACGTGACCCCCCAGGCACCCCCTTGGGGCCCCCAGCCCTCGTACGGGCCAACACAGTAGTGACCGTTCTGTCACTACATCACCCCCCCCTGTATAAACACACAGCCGTCCCCGGCTGTAACACAACTGTGAACATCGAAAAGGTGTGCCTCCGAACCAGCAACATCAATAAATGACCGGCGACCGATAAGAAATACAATCACGTAATATATACAGAATCGACGAGGGTAAAAGGGAACCGCATAGAAAACGGGGAATTAACAACAAATATACATGAAAACCGGCTAACCCACTTACGCTCCATCACAGCCCCCCCACCGTTAGAATCACGCATGCAATGACAGTCACCCGTTAGCACCCCCCCGCCTTTCCGACGTGGCGTCACAACCAGTAGCACGCGTCGGCCATATCGGGGGGGGAATTTCCATGTTACCACCCCACCGCCTTTCCGACGTGGCGTCACAACCAGTAGCACGCGTCGGCCATATCGGGGGGGGGGGAATTTCCATATTACCACCCCACCGCCTTTCCGACGCGGCGTCGCAACCAGTAGCACACGTCGGCCATATCGGTGGGATTTTAACCCAGTCTCTCTCCAAGACTCGCATCGCAGCATATAGCTGTACCGACCGAGCTGAGACGACCCAGTCTCTCTCCCAGACTCGCATCGCAGCATATAGCTGTACCGACCGAGCTGAGACGACCCATCGTTCACTCACTGCACAACATGCACCCTAACAACTGAGGGAAACAGTCTCAACGTAACAGGCCAACTCCACCCGAACCTTACGAATCTCCAGCCCACTGTTTCAACGCGCCTCAGAGGGTCTCAACCTCTGAGCCGTCAGGTCAAGCCGTCAGCCATAGCATGACGGGACCACCCTCCCTGAGCCATGTGAGCGCACAGCCCACAAGTCTAGACAAGCCACAGAGTGTCTCGATCTCTGGGCTGTCAGGTCAAGCCGTCAGCCATTGCATGACGGGACCACCCTCCCTGAGCCATGTGAGCGCACAGCCCACAAGGCTAGGCAAGCCACAGAGTGTCTCGCCCTCCGGGCTGTCAGGTCAAGCCGTCAGCCATTGCATGACGGGACCACACACTCCGAGCCATGTGAGCACACAGCCCACTAGGCTAGACATACCACGGAGTGTTTCAATCTCCGGGCTGTCAGGTCAAGCCGTCAGACACAGCATGACGGGACCACACTCCCTGAGCCATGTGAGCACACAGCCCACTAGGCTAGACATACCACGGAGTGTTTCAATCTCCGGGCTGTCAGGTCAAGCCGTCAGACACAGCATGACGGGACCACACTCTCCGAGCCATGTGAGCGCACAGCCCACTAGGCTAGACATGCCACGGAGTGTTTCAATCTCCGGGCTGTCAGGTCAAGCCGTCAGCCATTGCATGACGGGACCACACTCTCCGAGCCCTGTGAGCGCACAGCCCACTAGGCTAGACATACCACGGAGTGTTTCAATCTCCGGGCTGTCAGGTCAAGCCGTCAGCCATTGCATGACGGGACCACACTCTCCGAGCCCTGTGAGCGCACAGCCCACTAGGCTAGACATACCACGGAGTGTTTCAATCTCCGGGCTGTCAGGTCAAGCCGTCAGCCATTGCATGACGGGACCACAACGTTCATGTTAGACACGCAACACTCACTGGGCCATCCTGGTCAGGATCTGCGCCCCAAGATAAGTGACAGCCAGCACCACAATTCCAAATCCCTGGCAGCATGTCACCATCGCAATTTAACACCATCACAACACATACAATTTGAATTATGATCCCCCACAGAACTGATCCAATGCCGAACAGGTACGCACAATTTGTGACGATCCCGAATATTCAATGGTCACAACAATACACCTCACATCCCGTATCCGTACACATCATCTCCGAGACTCGCATTGCAGCAATGCAGCTGTACCAACCGAGTGGAGAGAGCAACGCAATTTGACGGCAATTAACGGAAACGCACCCCCGATCCATGTAGAACACAAGGAGCATTCCCGCACAAAAGACATCATCTGTGCAACAACGGACAGGAACCAACCAGTGAGTTTGAAACAAACCGAACCTGTAATTTCAAAATCCCCTTCAACATTAACCATGGGACTCAGGGCATTCGAATTAAAAAAAACTATACACAAACGCCAAGAATCGCCGAATTGATTAATACAGTATATGCAGTATACGAAGTTCGTACAGTCAATCATTTGGCGCAATGTTCCATCCAGTCCCCACATGGCAACACACACAATCAATACTCCAGACAATCCGTACATAGTAAATAATCACCAGCAAGTACCCAACAGTCCATACACTGTTAACAATTTCAAGCAAAGCTCCATACGGTCTGTACATTGGCAACAATGACGATCAAAGTTTCTGACAGTTACAAGTGACAATCACGAGCGAAACTCCATACAGTATACACAATAACAATGGTGATTTCGCAACACAACGATGTAACAACACGAGTCATTAACACGGCAACATACAGGATATCCACGGAACTCGGGACACCAACAACGAATTAATCATTAACTACACGCAGAAGATACCGATCTCGACGCCGTAATTAACAACAAACACTGGTCGCCGCGTCAATTTCTCACGCACACAACCGGACGAACACGCTCCGCAACCCAGCGAGTAAAAAAAACACACGATCGCAACCCGGCACACGCAAGATGGGTGAAAATTATTATTATTTTTCTTGGGGCCGGGTGCTTGTCATGTCATGACTCGCCTTGAAAACTGTGCATAGCAGAGGGCGGCAAGGTGGAGCACTGGGACGGCCCGAAGAATCTTCCATGGTGAACACGGCCTGCTCTTGCGAACGAACTCCCCCTCTGCAGGCGTTGATGTCGGCGGGAGCGGCATTTCGGCAGCAGGAGCGGCGTTTTGGTGGGAACAGCGCACCGACCCGCCGCCGAAATGGCGGGAACGGCGTTTTGGCGGGAACAGCGCCCCGACCAGCCGCCGAAATGGCGGGAACGGTGTTTTGGCGGGAACAGCGCCCCGACCAGCCGCCGAAATGGCGGGCCCACCGCGTGGCCCGCATGCCCGGGCCTCCCCCGCCAGCCCCCGCAGCGACGATGGTGTCCTCTCGCCGCGGCTCCATCGCTCCGTTCCCGATGGCGGCGAAGCAGCAGTGCGATGCAAGTCCCACCGCTCCGCGTGCAGCGCCATCTCTCTCTCTCTGTCACCGGGGCTGCCATCCCCGGGGCTGTCCGAAGGACGGTCGTCACACCATCCCCGTCGTACGAAGACGTCCAGATGAGTTTTGTATTTGTTTTTCGTGTGCCCATTTTACTTCCCTAGGATAACACCTAGCAATATTTATTTTTCCACAACTGACGCCAAATGTAGTGGGTTCTTTTTAGGCGCACACACTTCTTGGGAGGCAACACTCATTTATTAATTAACACAACGTTTACTCAACAGTTACTCTTACTCTACACATAGGGTGGTGACCACCGACCTACACTAGCTAACACACAATTGTATTTTAGTCTCTCTCCAGCGTGACCCAGCCAGGTGGCTGCTGGCAGTCCGCTCACTGTAGGTCTTCTCTTCTGGCATCTTCACGAGGTGTCTTCATTCTTCTCAGGAACAGCCCTGCTCTGCCTTCACACCACGCTTATATCTCGTCTCTCTGGCGTGGCCGGCTCCGCCCAGGCCACGCCTCACTTCCCAGGCCACGCCTCACTTCCCAGGCCACGCCTCACTTCCCCCACCTCTGGGAAGGTCCGGATCCCTCCAGCACGTGACCCCCCAGGCACCCCCTTGGGGCCCCCAGCCCTCGTACGGGCCAACACAGTAGTGACCGTTCTGTCACTACAATTTGTTGACACTGCTCAAGTGCCTGGGTTGCTCTCCTTATGAATGAACTCTGCGATGTGATGATCCGTTCTTGTTGTTGATGTTCACGCCGACTGATCAAGGCGAGTGCGTGTGGTGTGCGTGCGGTCTGTGCGTGTGGTCCGTGCGCGTGTGGTCTGTGCGCGTGTGGTCTGTGTGCGTGTGGTATGTGCGCGTGCCAGGTGCGTTACGTCGATCACGGGGGTGAGGACGAGGTGGAACCTGGCGCCGTGCATGTGACCGACCGTTTCACGCACGTTCCCTCGCTCTGCCTCGAGTGCGAGCTGAGCTTCCCGCATCTGGTAGGGACTCTCTCTCACTCACCTGCAGCTGCACGCAATCCCCACATGCCCAGAGAAGCACACAAAAGGCTCGCATGAAATCTGTTTACACATTATTATTATGCTTATCATTGAATGCATGTATTCATAAACAGCCTCGCTTATAAGTGTCAAGACTTTTGTAGGAGGGTCCTGCCAATTTTTTGAATGAGGTGGAGTGATGTTGTTGCTGCTGTGGTACAGATGCAGGTGATGATTATCATCAGGGCATCTGGTGCAGATACAGCGCCGCTGAATCTAACAACTTTCACTTCCTAGTGTGCCGGGAACGATCCTGGCAAGGGTTATTCAACATTGCCTTGCCAGACATGTTGAGGAAAGACTTTCGGAGCCCCAATGTGGTTTCAGACCAGGACGGTCCTGCACGGATGCCATATTTTTTGTTTGTTTACTACAGCAAAGGTGTAGGGAATTCCAACAAGACCTACATCTCTGCTTTATTGATCTGGTCAAGGCCTATGATACAATCAGTGGGCCAGGGCTTTCAGAGTCTCTGACTCTCTGCTTACAATGAGTAAGGGTCTTCACGATGGCGGGCAGGCCCGGGTAAGGCTACGTGGGCAGGAGTCGGAGCCATTCCCTGTTCACCTTGGGGTGTGACAGGGCTGTTCTTTGGCTACCATATTATTTAACATAATCTTTGACCAAGTAGTTACAGAAGCTTACCCTGGCTGTACCGGAGGAATCTCCATCGGGTACAGATACAACTGAAGGCTGATCGATACCCCGGTGCGGTCGAGGGATGGCTCCCTATTGGTCAACCATGTTGTATATGCTGATGATCTGGTGATTGCTGCTCACTCAGAGGAGGAGTTGGAGGCACTGCTGCTGAACCTGGAGTGTACCACTTAGAGGTGGGGCCTTACAATCAGCTCCACCAAAACTTAGCACCTGCCTTGGCATTTTATGCCATCGAACAATCCACCCCCACAACTCACAATTGGTGATGCGGCAGTTGTGGAGAGAGTGGAGAGTTTCCCATACCTTGCCAGTGTGCTCATGACCGGCTCCGGTTTAACAGCAGAGGTCTCACTCCAAATCAGTCGAGCGCCATTATCTTTTCATCGGCTGCGTTACGCTGTGTGGAAGCTACTCTGGTCTGTCGCTGCACCGATTAGAAACATTTAGGCTGGCATGCGTACTATCCATCCTAGACTTAACTAGACTGGATTGTGTGAGGATCTCACATCCTTGAAAGATCTGGACACATTGCCGTCGCTGATTGGCTGAGGGCATGGCTTAGCACCACTGACGAGCACTCGGACTGGCTGAAAGTGGCGCCTGCGTACATAACGTAAACATGTTACCTTTAGTCAACAATGTTAACGTTAGTAGAAACCATACGAGTCCTGACTTAGAGCTTTCGTCACTGCAGGAATTCATATTCTTTGGTTCTTTCGGTAAAGTCATGTAGATTGTTGGAAAAAAATAACCAAAAATTACTATGTTTCAATCACACAAACGATCGTCATCAGGATGAAAAAAAAATTATCCAAACGTCGTAGTTTTTTGTTATTTTCTTTCAACCTATCTACGTGACTTGACCGAAATACCCAAAGGACATATGAGTCCTATTGGAGGCGTAATGTTAACCGCAAAACACGTTAACTGATGTCACCATTAACCGAGGAATTACTGTACCAGTTACACTGTGTGCTTTGGCTTATGGGGATGAACCCGAATGAAACCCATACAGGAGGGGGGTGGAGAGAGACAATATACAAACTCCACACACGGAGAGGTGCCCGAGTTGGGAATGGAACCCCCCACCCAGGTGCTTACTGTGAAGTACACACAAGTGTGTTACTACTGGTTTATACCCTGCTGCCCAAAAGTAGTTCCCATTGCCAACGCTTAAATTTAGACTTGGTATATTCAATTGGTAGATACGGAAGGTGGCGGTAGGTGGAAGCTATCTCTAGCTGTGTAGATGCAGCCTTTGTGAGTGAAAATGGATTATTAGCCGTCTACTCAAGTCGTTTGCATATTCGAGTACAATGTCCATTTCCCTTGTCACGTGTTCCGGTGACCATTGGGTATATATGCACAGAGGTACATGTGATATGTACTGTCTTGTCTTGATATATTTCATTTTGGTAGCCTTTACAGTGCAGTATATCAGCTTAGAATTCTGTATTTATAATGTGTACAAGCAACAAGTTAATACTTTCACCATAGTATGTTTTTTAAGGACAGCAATATGAAAGTAAAATATTAACTAAAAGCCCACATCGGCCACATTCAGAGCCCCCGTATTTTTCGTGAAGATACTGCTAAGATATGTTGGTTACTGCAGGCTGGTGTTCTGACAATATGCTTCCAGGATGAAGGTGACGCACAGAAGGCCGAGGTGGTTGAATACCTCTCCAGAATGCTGTGTGGACAAACTGTGCGCATGACACTGAAGGTACTTTGAAGGAAAATTAGCAGCCTTCACAGTGGCATCCACGTGCCTGTACACGCAAACAGATCGGGAGAATTGTCCACATCACCATTCGTCACGATGGACGTGGTCTCTTTGCAGCCAACTGCATTGCCCAGGTTGCAGCGTTGACTTTGTTTACAATCAGCAAAGATTCCGGTAAACATGGACGCAAGTGCACAAGACAAAGATCCCCCATGTAGGCTTAACACACTGTTGGGGCAAGTACTGTTAACGACCATCTATGAAGGCTGGCACGGCACAAAAGGGGGTGGGCGGCAAGCACCACGCCCGGCCGCCTTTGTCTTCCTCTCGGTGATGTTTAACACACCATACCACGTACTCATTTGAGTACTGGTTCAGATAATCATCACTGGTGTTGGTCGTAAGCGGGAATCGAACTCTGGTCGCCGTGTGCTTGCAGGTGCCCTGCAGTGAAGCGTCACTGCCCCTCCAAGTGGATGTCTACACAGAGCAACAGGGCTCCCTGGAGGCTCTTTTGGCGTTGGCTGAGCCTCTCGATGGGGAACAGTGCAGCCCACAGGTCTACACAGCAGCACCAACAACAACAACTCTCTGTCAGGGCTTGGGGCCACATTAGTTTACTGCTTTCCATAGTCCGTGAGCACAGACCGGATATGTTTCACTTGTGGGTACCGCCTTTGGTGGCATCACTTTAGTGGTTTAAATGTCTCCGTAGCCAAAAAAAAGTGCGTTATAACCATGTGAAATGCAACTCAACTCTGTGGGTTGATTTCTTCATATTCGTTCCAGAATTTTGTTTAATGCTTTTGGTTAGGGACCATCGAATATCTTTTGAAGAGTTGGGGTATGAAATCGTAAAGTAATAACGAGATCTTAAACACCGTGTCACTTGACATTCTCAGGGGCAGGAGCCCACAGAAGGCGAGAGTAAGCCAACGAGCACCGAAGGCCGGATCCAAGTGAGAGAACCGCCACACTTCTTGGAGAGCGTGGCGGTTCATGCTCTTCAAGTGGAGGACTCAGGAGAGGAGAACGGTGCAGGTCTGGGCGCTCTTGGGGAATGGGGGGAGGAGGAGGAAGAAGATGTGGCGGCTACGGAGAGGACGGGGGGGAGCGGTGACCAAGATGAGCAGGAGGAAGATGTCATGTGGGATGAGCCCCTGGTATGTTCTTACAAATTATTAAAACAACTTCTGTTGGTTATTTTTGTTAAGGTCACATGCTATTTGAACAATATATTCTCATTAAAATTTTTGTTGGTTTTAAGGGAGTAAAAATATTTTCCCTTCATTATGCAATTTTTTTTCATGGGTCAATTATTCATACGCTCAAGGGTATGGCCCAATAATTTTTATTACTTATTTGTCCTATATGCACCCTCACTTTTTGTGTGTGGGTTTTTACTTCACGTACATGTACTGGCTCATTGGCAACTGAGCACAAATTTACAGCAAGAAAACTCAACACATTTGTCAATAACACTGTGGCCTTAAACTAAAAAATATATATCTAATTGGTGATGTTTCAGGCAGTAGCTCATCTTCATAGCACATGGCGTGTTGTTATGTTTGTGGTAATGGATCACTAGCTAGGCAGATGCAGTATCGCCAAATAATTTGTGTATCTTTATAACACAAGGGGCTGGGGAAACATGTGTCTGATAACCTTTATGCGATCAAGCTGGAGGATAGATTGTCAGAATGCAGCTTTGCACCACTTTTACCCTTTTTCATTGGAAAATCCAAGCTAGTCCGCACGTGGGCATTGCGGTATGCTTGGTTTGTCCACTGAGCCGAGCCGGAACCAAACAATGCTAAGCCATCTGAATCTGGCTCGTGACCAAGTCAGGCCGGGTGCTGGGCTGGGCTGATAATAGTGAAAATGCATCTGACATCACACAGTCCATAATAAACGTTTTTGGGTTAGATTGCGTTATTTATAAATGTGTCGTAACCCTCCACCACCCGACATGGCCAAACAGTAAAAAAATGTGTCACGTTTACAAAGGACAAATAGTTCAATTTAGCCCACCGGTGTGTTGAAGAGTGAATCAACATCATTTAAAATTTGAGTAACCCTAAATGATATGCTTGTGAGTTTTGATGTGATCTCTCTATTCATAAAGGTTCCAGTGAATGAGTCGCTTAAATTACTTGATACACTAGTAAAGAATACAGATTTACCAAAAGATATCCCGAAACTAGCTGATCATTGTTTAAGTAACACTTCTTATGGAGAGGTGATTTCTTTAAACAAAAGGAAGGAGCCGCAATGGGCTTTCCTTTATCTCCTGCTATAGCAAATCTGTACATGGAAAACTTAGAAACAAGAGCACTTGCCTCAAGTACATTAAAACCATATTTTTGGTTTAGATATGTTGATGACACTTTGGTTGTCTGGCCACATGGTAAAGATGCACTTAATGATTTTCTAAATCATCTCAATGCACAAAACCCAGCCATCCAGTTCACCATGGAAATGGAGGTGAATAACACACTTCCGTTCATAGATATTTTGCTTGGACATGGTTTAAATGTCAAAATAACACGCAGCGTTTACCGAAAGCAAACGCACACTGATGCCGATCTGAATGCAGATTCACATCATCACCCAGCTCAGAAATCCTCTCGTTTAAAAAAACGCATACATCTGGCTAAAACAGTGTCAGATGGTGAAAGTCAAGTGGGAGACATTAAACATGTTAAAGAAGCACTGCGACAGAATGGCTACAATAATGCTCAAATTAACAGAGCACTGAATGCCAAATCACGAACGCAAAGCAACACTGCTGAAAGTGATCAGATTATTCAAACAATTAAAATTCCATATCTCAGGAGTGACTGACAAATTAGCCCGTGTTTTGCAAAAGCAAAACATTAAAGTAAGATTTGGTACAGTACACAAAATCTAAAACTAGTATCTTGCACTAAAGACGAATTGCCTAAATTACTAACAGAAGGTGTATATCGGATTAATTGTTTGTGGCAGATGCTATATTGATCAGATGGGACGTAACATCAGCGTAACACGAAAGAAATATTAAATTACTAGCGTTAAGTACCCGGCGTTGCTCGGGCAAAAAATGCAGACACACACATTGACTTGCACACAGACATTGACCCACACACACAGAAACACATCGACTTAGACGCGCACACACACATATATGGTTAAAGCCAGGATGGATCGTTAGCAGGCCAGCCTAAATGTTTCTAACCGGCGAAGCTGTTCCATAGCGGGGTGCACGTTTCACAACTGAGCCTTTATTATGGAGAGGTTCGGTTTGTGACTAAGCCTGGCCTACATAACAAAAGTGTGAAAAAAAGAAAGCTAAACCTGGTAAAACAGAACTGGCTCTCTATCAGTAACCTGTAATAGTTGTCTGTCAAATAAGATGGTCCAAATAAGTGAAGTTAAATCTTTTTTGCATGGTTAATCACATCTTTCCAATGATTACTCAGTTTGTAACCATCATCACGGTTGAAATTATGTCTGTGTTTGTATATTTGTGTAGTAAGTATATATGGAGGCTTGACGACAGGATCGGAGGCACACTTATTTATTACACCAACACAGTTATTACAGGTCACTTGGCTACAGGGATTTCTCGACAGCTAACCCCTCTAGCCTATACCAACTCCTCCACTACAGGACTAGGGGAGGCTATCTGTCCCAGCTTGGTTAAGCTGGGATCCCGGCTCCCTGAGTCACCAGACCAGCTTCGTCTGGGCTCTCGGGGCCACGCCACCGGCTTGCCCTGGTCGGCCCTTAGAAGGACAGCGAGCCAGGGGAGCTCCGGGGCCTATACTAGCAGGTCTTCGTTCTTCTCTGGTTAAAGCTGAGTCCCGACTCCCGAGCCTTTCGGCTCATCACCTTTTATAGGACTTGCCCCCAAGGGGGGCCCGTGGGGGATGTACATGCGGACGTCGGTGCGAGCGCCACCCCTGTGTACGGCCGTAACCCCGCCCTTTGTGTTTGTTGGCCATCCGTGGCCATGCATAATCACACAACACCTTTCGTAGCCATGCGCAATTACACCTCTACATCACCCCCCCCTGTACAGCTCGCAGCCGTCCCTGGCTGCAAAAAAAAATCAGAATAAAGGTGTATCCCTCACAAACCCCTGTGTGTGTGCCTCGCGTAAATTATTTCTAACAAGAACAAGAGAACCTAAACAGAACAACAAGAGGAAGAGAGAGAGAGAGAGAGAGAAAAAAAATATCCCGACGCGCCCTCCCTGAATGAGCACCCCAAAACCAACAGATATATACACACCGGAGACCACCCCTCCCCATAGTCCGCAGGGCCCCCCAACGGCCGACCTCACAACACCCTCCCCATAGTCCGCAAGGCCCCCCAACGGCCGACCTCACAAAAGTCTGCGCGTTTTGGCGCGCGTTCTTGCGGCGGGCCCGTCACAAGGGCCCGTCCTGGCGCGCTCAGTGACGGTCGTTGACGGTCCGGGTGCAAGAGAGTCAGGCGTTGCTGTCGAGTGACCCCCGACCCCTCCGGGAGGGGTTGGTGGGCGTGGGCCCGTCACTCCTGTTTCACCTGGGGACGGAACAGTTGGCGTCAGGTTAGGCGAGTGCAGCGACGACGGGGAGTCGGCGACACCCTCACACGTTTGGCCATGCGTGTGTGTGTGTGAACCACGGGGCAGCGCGACGAATGGTTTTAACCTTGAGGGGTGCACATACCACCGGCGTCTCCCCCATTTTACGCGAACACATTGCGGCCGCAAAACCTGCACGACCTCCACTGGCCCCCGCCACGGCCGTACCAACTTTGACGAGGTTGCCAGCGGCACCTGAGGACAGTGCAACCACGCCCTGTCCCCTGGTTCCCATTTGACCACCTGCACCCGCCCCAACCGAAGCCTCTCGTTCGCCTTCTGGCGGAGTTCTGAATTTTGCACGGCCGCTTCCCGCGCCTCAGACAATTTGGCGATGTTAAATTTAACGTGTTCGGACAAGTTAGACTTCGCCTGGGGCGCCGAGAGCTTCAGCTGGGTCGCCACAGGGGGGTCAATTTCGCGCCCATACATTAAAAAGAAAGGGGAAAATCCGGTGGCCGCATGGGGAGCCATTCTGTAGGCCTGCAACACACCGGCTATACGTAGGTCCCAATCCGTCTGGGAAACCGACACCTGCTGGGACAGCATGGACGTGATGGTCCGATGCAGCCGTTCCACCATCCCGTCAGTTTGTGGGTGATACGGAGAGGTCCGAACCTTCTCCGTACCCAAGAGGTCGCACACCTCACGTAGGAGTTTACCAGAAAAATTCCTACCCTGGTCAGTAAGCAGCCGTTCCGGAGCACCCTTGTCGAGGACATAGCCCTGGACAAAGGCCTCCGCGATGGCTGCTGCCGACTGGTTCGCCAGGGGCCAGGCCATAGGCCATCTCGTGAAGTATTCAACCCCCGTTAGTAAATACCTATTGCCCCTGGGCGTAGCGGGAAATGGGCCAAGTATGTCCAGAGCGACGAGCTCGTTAACCCGGGAAACTTTTATGGACTGCAGCGGAGGGTTGGACCCCCTCGCAGGCGGCTTCCTCTGCGCGCATTGCGTGCATGACCCCAAGAGATCCCCCACGTCCTTTTCCATGCCCGGCCAGAAGAAATCCAGCTGGAGCGTGGCAAAGGTCTTGTGAACCCCCAAGTGCAGAAGCCGCTCATGAACAGCCCATACCACCTTACCCCTTAAAGCAGCAGGCACCACAAGCCGCTGGCGCCGGGTTTTTCCATCCCAGTGCATTAAAAGACCCTGGAACAACCCCCACGAGTCAACGTTTTCCACCCCCTGGCCAACCCCCCCGGCGCGACGGCGCAGAGCGAGGAGGGAGGTGTCCTCCATTTGGAGGCGTCCCCATTCCGCGACCGACAACCCCAGCAACGAATCCCTCCCTTCTTGCTCGATAGGACCCGAAACCGAA